CATTTCTATTTTCTCTGTCCAGATGGATTTTCCCCAAATTCTTTTTTTTGCCAAGTTAACTCATATGCTTCTTTCAAATATCAATTTAAAGAGCATCACATCTGAGTCAGCCCCTATGTCTTTTTCTCCATAGCACTGTTCTCCATACTACTTCCAACAATTTGTTATTTTATGTTTATGTTTAAAATGTCTCTAAGTTCTCAAAGAATGGGGAGCATATCTGCTTTATTTAACGCTATATGCTGTGAAATTGGCACTGTCTGGTTACAAAATGGGCTCAATAATTCCTTACTTATTAGTAGCCCTGCGCATGAATCCATGTGCCAGTAGCTCACTGCCACCCTCTTGTAGCTCTTCGCCCCCTCAGAGCTTGCTGCCCTGCCTGCTCCCTGCCTGTTCCCTTAGCTTTCTGCTGCCTGCTTGTAGCTTGCTACCCCACCCTCCTGCTGATCTGTGGTCTGGTTGTTAAGTAGTTGGCTGTTAACACTTCACAGTGTAAAGACCATTTGCATATTACATCTTTATTATATAGAATATGAATGAATTTAGCCAGTGGAAAGTTATCTCATGGTTTTAGGTTCCTGCTTTCTCTTAACGTGAAATTTAGTCCCATCCAGATTTTCATGTTTTGCATACCTATCTATCACCTAGAAGACTCACTCATTTATCTCTACGAGAAGCAGAACTTAAAGCTTCACTGATCATCTCAGTTTATTTTATTCTCTCCTTGGGACCTCATTGAACTTATTTCCTGTACCCTTCATTTTGTGCCAAACCTTATAATGACTTGTAACAACTTATCTGCTATTATTAGCACCTCTTATTTACACATTTTGTCTTGCCAATGATGTCGTAAGTCTATCAAGTACAGAACTTGGTACTTCATATCCTAAAGTATATAGTGTGCCCCTAAACAGGGCAGCTGCATGAAAAGGAGTCTCCACCCTACCCCTCTGAGCCCCCATTATAAGACTTTGATGTGGGAGTTTAACCCATTTCCTTTCACTCTCTTTTCTTCCTCTGCCCTTCTGAGTGTGTTGCCATTATACTGGGAATAGAGGCTGGTATAAAGATAAGCTGAGAGGTCAGGAGAAGTAATTACTACGGGGAGTGTGCAGACAGAGGACTTGCCAGTGTCTCATTTCCTCCTCAGCATTACAGGAGGTGAAGATAACGCCATAAGGGGATAGGTGTGTTTTATATTGCTAGGTGTCTCCCTAGAACATATAAAAAGTGACTTGTTCAAGATTTTGAAAATATGGATTTATAAAACTTAAATGAAATAAAGAGGATTACATCCTCAAAAAAAATTCAATCATTGACTCAATATTTGGATGAATTAGGTCTGAATATCAACTTCATTTAGAAAGTGTCTTTGATTTTTTTTTTTTTTTTTTGAGGGCAATTTCATTTTAATTTTTATTGTCAACACAGCATAACCTCCTGAAGTTTTTAGACATAAAAATTAAATATGTTAAAGACAAATTCTAAACTCTAATAGAAAGACTTTAATAGGAAGCAATGTACAGTATTAAAGAAATGCCACAAAGAGAAAATTATCTATATACATAAAAGCCTAAGTGACTGGCTGACCGGCAGTAGCTATGATGCACCATGGCCAGAGGGCAGTTGGAAGCAGAAACCACAGGCATGGAATCATGGAACAGAGTGATGAATCTCAGAGGGAAGGAGGGAGGGGAAGGGCAGGAAGAGACAAACCAAAGATACTATGTGCATGCACCCAATGCATGCACCCGAGCACCAGTGGGTCCCTCGACCTGGCCTGCGCCCTCTCGCAATCCTGGGACCCCTTGGGAGATGTTGGAGAGTCCATTTCAGCCCAATCCCTGCAGGCCAGGCCGTGGGGCCCACATGAGGCCCCTAGTATATACATAAACACAAATCCAAGATCAATAGGCATTTTACTTTAAATTTTTTATTGATTAAGGTATCACATATTTGTCCTCATCCCCCCATTCCCATCCCAAACCCCTCCCCACGCATGCCCCAACCCCCCTGTTGTCCATGACAGAAAGTGTCTTTGAGATCCAAGAAGTTATTCTGTACTTCGAGTTACTATTTCTAATCTTATCCAAATAGTGATATTTAAGGAATATTTTAAAAAACTGAACACCTTAGCTACTCCCCCCCACCACCAAAATATAAGGGTTATAAAGGATCTGCAACCCTTTTAATGTACTAAGCCAACCTTCCTCAACTTACTTCTAAAAATGGAGCAGAAAAATAAAGCCTGTAATACTGTCTTCCTTAGCATAGAACTATTCGAGGTAAGTAAACATTTTCACAATTACTTCCTCTTTTTACCTAGTGTGTCTTCCCAACTACCCTTTAAGATGAACAGAGTAGAAGCTATTGTCTGCTGTCTTTATTTTGTCAGAGAGGAAACTTGCCTCAGAGGGCTCACTGACAGTAAGTATGCAGCTGATAACTCCTGTTGGAGAATTCCCCTGAAGAATTGCTATGAGATCATGCTGTTGCTCAGATAGGGCTGTTAACCTGGGGTCAGGATTGGCTAAAGAATTTGCAGGGACTAGTCCAAGCATGTCAAACTCAAAGACCAAATAAGCAAGGTTTAAGGCTATGTGGGCCACAAAAAAACAAATACAAAAAAACTAACCTTCAATTTTAATAGAAATGTATGTTTATTTCGAAAAGTATAGTATAAAATAAAATAAGAGCAATGGTAAAATTAATGTTTTCTTACATATCACTATATTGGCTGGGCTGCAAAAATATTTGTTGTAGGCCACAAGCGGGCCACAAGTTTGACATGCTTGGTCTAGTGTACAATGAAAATTTGGGGCTCCTTGTTTGAAAGTTCTTAAGGCAGCTGAAGGTAACAGCAGGACATGGGGCCCTTCCAAGTACAGGGTCATGTTGCCATGAAGCTGGGGCTGCCTGGGATCTCTGATGGCTACCATTTGGGTGGCAGGGCATCAAGGAGACTGAACTGATATTTTAGGCAGTATTTCCTGGTTAATGTTGTGGTATCTATAATAATGTTATGGTATTCTATAATGTTATAGAATTTCCTGCTTAACTTTCTGTGTTAATGTGTGTATGATTGTTTCTTACATTCCATAGCTATTGTCAGATTTTCTTAAAATTTTTTTTAATATTTTTATTGATTTCAGATAGGAAGAAAGAGGCAGAGAGAGATAGAAAATCAATGATGAGAAAGAATCATTGATTGGCTGCCTCTTGCGTGCCCCTCACTAAGGACTGAGCCTGCAACCTAGCATGTGTCCTTGACCAGAATTGAATCTGGGACCCTTCAGCCCACAGGCCCACGCTCTATCCACTGAGCCAAACCAGCTAGGGCTATTGTCAGATTTTCAAAGTGGTCTGTTAATACAATAAAGTGTTAAGAGTGCATCTTCCACAACAGCAAATGCTCCCACAGACCCCAGCATGTCACAATACATGGGTGGGACCAGCATGCTGGTGGATGAGTGAGTTTTCAGGAATACATGGGGATGAGCACAAAACAAGAAATTGTTAAGGCTGCCCAGCTGTTGCCAGAAAGACAGACGCTCGAGGATGCATCTTCAAAATATAGGAAAGCAAATAGTGAGATATTCCAGATGAGCCCATTCTTTACAAACCCCAAAGTACTACCTAACCACGAGCTGTTTTATTTATTTTCACCTCTTTCAAGGAAGGTTCTCCATCTTCTGTAATTAGATACCACATTCTCTCCTATTAAGAAAGGTGAAATGTATCACCGAAGATCTGCCAACTCATGCTTACTTATATCTGTTTTACAGATAACTATAACCTAATGTTAGGAACTGGAGTAAGGTAGGATGGTGAATAAAGCAGGTGCAGGAGCGCCCTCAGAAAAAGCAAAGGAGGGTTGGTCATCTCTTGGGGTGCTATACACAGATATCCCTACATGTGGATTTTGCTGAAAAGCCTGCTCCTGTAGTGAGGGGCGGCATCACAATTATATTCCGTTCCTTTGCACTTTTAGACTAAAAATGCTCTTCAGCCAAATCTCCAGCTCACAGAAATGGGGATGGAGAGAGAGATGGGTCATTGAATCCACAGTGTAATCCTCACATTTCCATTTGCACCCTTTCACACGTAGAAAAAGCATCACCCATCTGTGTCCCGGCCACTCTGTTCCCCTCGCGTGGATGGCACAATGGGGCACCCTACGGGGAACAGAGATTCGAAGCTCTTGGGTTCCAGCGAGAACCTCGGTTTCTCGGTTGCTCACACCAGGAAACTCACTCATGGAGGAATCAGTGCTCATCATTTACCCATCCCGACAGCTGAAAGAGAAGGAGGCTGGCAGGCATGGGGAGCCTTCCTATGGTTTCTAGGATTCAGGTGGTCATGATTGCTCTTAATGCAATGGATTTCCCTCGGGTAATCGGACTTGCCTCCCCGCAAGCTATGGACTCCAGCTGGAGGCTTCCAGTCCTCGTTCCCCCGCTTCCTCCCAGAAACGCAGGCCACAGGGAGAAGGTCCAAACTTTCAACCAGGACTGGCTCCGCCCCGGCGCCCCGGACCTTGTCCAGCCAGACCCGCATGGGAGGGTCTGGACGCTCGCAGCCCTAGGTGGGGTGGGGAAAAGAGGGGGGCGAAGCAGCGATCTCGGGTCGGGAAGCTGGAAGCGCAGGGAGGGCAGCCAGGGCGGGGACGCACGTGGCCCGGGAGCCGGAGCGCTCTTTCTAGGAACAGCCCGCGGCCAAGGAGGCCCGGGAGAGCCCAGCCCGCGCCTCTCTCCATCGATCCCGGGCAGAACCCCACTGTAACCCTCGCGATCCGCGGTTCCCGCCCCTGCGTACCCCACTCCGGCGAATATGCTGGCGCCCTAACGGCTAGCTGCCCGCGGGGCGCTCCAGCGCGCTCAGCCTGGGAGACGCTCGGGTGCCCCCGCCGGCCCCGCGCCCACCCCGCCCAGCCCGCCCGGCCCGGCCCGCGCTCTGCCTCCCGGGCGGGGGCTCGGGCTGCAGTCTGGATGGAATACCTGCTCCTCCGGGTCGGGGTGGGGTTCAGCTGGGGCTCCTCGAATCCGCTCCTTCCCGGGGGCCACGGGAAGTGCTCCCGCTGCCGCTGCCGCCGCCGCCAGGAAACAGCTCCTTGTCTCTCGGCTCTTGAACGTGACACTATATATCCGGCGGGAGACTGGGTGTGGAGCGGAGGAAGCCACCCTCCCCCCGCCTTCCCCGCCGGGCGGCGGCCTCGGCCCTGGGCGGGCCGGAGGGGGGCGCGGGCTGGCGGGGGCCGGGCAGTGGAGGCCAGGGGGCCGCTCGCTGCGTCCCGCCCTGAGCCTCCATTCATTCATTCATTCATTCATTCAGCACCAGGCAGAGCCACTATGACTCCACGGGTTCCCACCTCCTCCTCGTGTTTTAATCGGTGGGTGAGGGGAAAGGGAACAGGAGAGGCGCCCCTCTCTGGTCTGGAAAAGAAGGAGAGAGAAAAAGAGGAGAGGACGGAGGGAGGATGGAGATAGACAGACACGAGGTCAAAGGCTCTGGACTGAACAGGTCTTTCCCCCAGCCACCCTAGCAGAATGGGCAGCCCCAAATCCCAATTGACTCAGTTGGTCCCTTCTGCACCCCTCAATCCCCAATCCTCTTCCCTCCCTGGGAGGGATGCTCTGTATTTATGGGCTCCAAACTCTGTGGGGACGCCCCGTACCGACCCACAGCACAGGGTTCTTCCGAACGCCCAGGAGGGGCTGGAGGCGTGGTTTACTCAGACCTCCCCAGGTTGGAGGACCGAAATCTGCCCGCGGTGCGGGTGGGAGTGGGCAGGTGGATGGAGACTGGAGAAGAGAAGATGCTGCTGAAGGAACAGCGGCCCTTCAGATTCTTCAAAAAGACGTTTGGTTTCTTAGCCTGATAGATTTTGGGGGCGAGGGGTGGGGTGGGGGAGATTAGGCGTGGCCATCGGCGTCAGGGCGGAGTTGTAGAGGGAAGGACAGGCATGTGAGTGGAGCTGTCACAGGTCTCATCCAGGATGTGCTGAAACCCAGCAACTGCCCAGCCTAATTCCTTGGACAGGTGGAAAGCAAATTCCCGCATAAAAACGCTACGTTAAGAAAATCCAGAAAGGAGTATTGCTCTGTCAGCTGTCTTCATCCCCATTACAGCGATCACCATAGATAGACATAAAATCCATGAAGGTTAGAATGAATGCAATGAGCTATTTCCTGCATTGAAACAATTTACACCGGCTTTGAATTATCTTCTGCTGGACTCTCTTCAATTAAACGCGTCAAGGAAAGTGTAGCCTAAAGGCACCTGGCTCGTTTCCTCTGGTGACTGCCTGAAATCAACAGGGAGAGGAAAAGTTAGGACCAAATAAACATACTCTGTTACCCATCTCCCTACAGAAGAATAAATCTGAACGTGTCCTCAAAGTGTGTATGAGAGTACTTGAAAAGACACATTCACACGTTGGTGAGAGCATGCTGAAACCCACTCATCACAGCAGGTGGAAGGTAAATTGCTACAACTCTTTGGAAAGCAATTTAGCACACAATTTCCAAGGCATAATGTATTTTTAGTCACTTTTTAAAAATGTTCTCAACAGTAAATGACTGGTAAATAATTCCCATTTCCTAGAATGCATTCTAGGGAAATAATCCACAAAAAAAGAAATGCCTCATGAACAAGATTGCAGGTTTGTTACAGCATCTATAAAAATAAAACTGTAATATGCTAATTAGACCAGATAGACAAATGACCTTCTGGATGTCATTCCAGATGTCCTTCTGGACAAAGCCAAGGCAGGACCGAGGCAAAGGTGGTTAGGGGCTATAGGCAGGCAGGCAAAGTGGTTAGGGGTGATCAGGCAGGCAGGCAGGAGAGCAATTAGGAGCCAGCAGTCCCAGATTGTGAGAATATGCAGGCTGGGCTGAGGGATGACCCCTCTCCTCCCTGCATCATGCATGAATTTTGTGCATAGGGCCTCTAGTTATTAATAAAGGAGAAAGTAAAACATACTTTCAGTAGGAATGTTAATAGATAAAATACAACATTATTTTATCTATCAACATTATACAAAATCATAATTTGATTATCACCATTAAAATTACATTTGTGTATGGATAATGCATGAGTTTGCTAGGGCTGCCATATCTAAGTATTAGGTCTAGTAATAATTAATGTCGTTTTCTAATACTTTTTTAAATCGAATTTATTTAAACAATACAACAAAATTTAATCAACAATATAGTTGCCGTTGTGCCCAACGCTCAGGAAGCATTTTAATCCCTCTGTTGTAAAATTCTTGTGATTTTGATGCAAAAAATTCGGTCAATGCATTTTTGAGGCATTCTTCATTATTAAATTTTTTTCCAAGAAGAAAGTTTTGCAAAGAACGAAACAAATGGTAATCGGAAGGGGCAATATCAGGAGAATATGCAGGTTGAGGGAGAACTTCCCATTCCAACTGGCGCAGTTTTTCAGCAGTGATTCTTGCAGTATGCGGTCGTGCGTTATCGTGGTGAAGAATTACGCCCTTCCGATTAATCAGCGCGGGTTCTTTTTCTCTTAAAGCTTGGGCTAACCTTTCCAATTGGGCACTATACACTGCACTTGTAATGGTTTGGTTAGATGGTAAAAGTTCATAATGAAGAATTCCTTTAAAATTCCACCAAACACACAACATCACTTTTTTCGCATGCAAGTCAGGTTTTGGCGTGGGCTGCGGAGCCTCATTTTTGTCCAATCATTGAGGCCGCCTTTTCAAATTAACATACAGCACCCATTTTTCATCTCCGGTAACAATTTGCTCTAAAAACGGCAAACGGTTTTGACGAGAGAGGAGTGAACTGCAAATTGTGACTCTTTGATTACGGTTGTTGTCGGTCAACTCATGAGGAACCCATTTTCCAAACTTTTGGACTTTGCCAAGTGCACGCAATTGATTGGAAATTGTTTTTTGTGAACAATTTAAAGTTGTCGCAAGCTCTTGTTGGGTAATTTGAGGATTTTGCACCAAAAGAGCTTGAAGAGCTTCTTGATCAAAATTGGACACACGGCCTCGACCACTCTTGTCATCTAACGAAAAATTTCCCTCGCGAAATTTCTCAAACCAACGCTGGCATTTTCTGGCGCTAACTGCATCTTGACCAAGAGCACTACAGATGTTTTTTGCAGCCTCACTTGCTTTTCTTCCTAATTGGAACTCGTAAAGCATGCAGTGCCGAATATGCTCTTCATCCGCCATCTTCTTAGCACTAGTTTTGCAACAAAAACCAAACCAAACACAAACTTTTTCAAGCAAAACTTGTTAATTGCACTTCACACGTTCTGTAGCTACCACGTGTTTGAAGGTTATGTCAATACAAGTCAATGCCAAGCAAGATTTTAAACGAATGTTTAAAAACGACATTAAGTATTACTAGACCTGATATATGGGCTGGGCGGCTTAACCAAAGGAAAGGTATTATCTCAGTTCTAGAGGACAGAGATCCAAGATGGAATTGTCAGCAGGGTTTGTTCCTTTGGATGGTTTTGAGGAAGAATCTATTTCATGCCTCCCTTCAGGTGGGTCTGCTTGTAAACTCTGGCTTTTCTTCGCTTGTAGATGATCTTTGTGATCATCTTCACAGGGTGTTCTTCCCCTGTGTGTGAGTGTTCAAAATTCCCCTTTGTATGAAGACCTGATTCATATTGAATTATGGCTTACCCTAATGATCTCATCTGAATTTATTACATCTCCCACATTTCTATTTCCAAATAATGCCACATTCTGAGGGTTGGGACTTCAATGTGTGAATTTGTAGGTGATGGGAGAAGGGGAGCAAAGTCTAGGGAGGGTTTTATCTCAAAACCACTATTGCAGGACAACGTTGAGAAATACATTATTGCAATAACTGACATCTACTTTCAAAGTCTTCTCTACTTCACCATTGCTTAATGATTTACCATTTTACTCAACTTCATAAAAAAAAATAATGTTTCTTTGTAAATCTGCCTGGAAGATTTTATTTAATATGCAAAATACAAAATGTGCTAGACCTAATATAATACCTCAGATCTTTCTAATGACATGTTAAAGTTGGAGACTGAATAAATACCGTGTTCCAAAAGAATGCTATCATTCCCCAATGCTATCTCTTTAAGCAAATACTGTTTCTGCCCTGGCCTGTGTGGGTCAGTTAGTTGGACATCATCCCATGCCCCAAAGGGTTTCCAGTTAGATTCCTGGTCAGGGCACACCCTAGGTTGCATGCTCAGTCCCCAGTAGGAGGTGGCAGGAGGCAGCTGCTCTCACATCATTGTTTCTTTCTCTCCCTCTCCCTTCCTTTCTCTCTCAAAATCAATTTAAAAAATAAAATAAAGAGTTTAAGAAAACATACAAACAAACAAAATACTTTTCTGTTGACAGATATTAGCATGGAAACAAGAGGTTTGATTTTGATCTACAGTAGGATCATAAAACTATGGAGTTTTGGAACTAGAAAACTAGTTTCTCTGGCCCACTGTCTTACTTTGTAGTGGTGAAGACTGGACTTTGTGTCTTGTCAAAGGTCACTTTATTAGTTTTAGATTTTCCCATAACCAATTGCCATAAACTGGGTGCTTTAAAAACAATATCTGTTTATCATCTCAAAGTTCTGTAAGTCAATCATCTGGACACAGTGTAACTGAGTTATTTGTCCAGGGTCTCACAAGGCTGAAATCACTTTTCTGAGCTCCTCATTGGTTGTTGGCAGGAGTTAGTTCCATGCAGCTGCAGGACTGAGGGCCTGGCTCTTGGTGAGGGTTTTCTTCCAACACTTGAAGGCCATCCTAACTCTGGCCCTATCCCTGTGCTCTCTCATAGCATAGTTGTTTGCTTCTTCAAAACCAGCAGAAGAAAATCTCTTGTTCCCTTTTGAAATCTCTGACCCTTTGTAAGGGCTACAACCTGGGATCATCTCGCTTTTGATGAACTCAAAATCAACTTATTTGAGGCCTTCACTTTCATCACATAAACAACGACGGGAATGAAACCCATCATAGGCACAGCCACACCCCTGGGAGGGAAAAGGATTCTGTGGAACACATCCACTACAGTGTGGTGACCTCGGGTGGCTTAGAGTTGGGACATCTTTCACTGACCTCAGTGGTAGTGGTAGCATCAGTGGTGGCAGTGCTGTTTCCCACTTTACTGTAGAGTATCTTCTGCATGAGAAT